ACACAAACACAACAACTTTCACATTGCTATAAATTCAAACCAGAAACATCCTGCTTTCATCTCTCTGGTCTCTCTCTGGTCTCTCTCTGGTCTCTCTCTCTGGTCTCTCTCTGGTCTCTCTCTGGTCTCTCTCTGGCCTCTTTCTATGGCCTCTCTCGCTGGTCTGTTTGGTCTCTCTGGTCTCTCTCTGGTCTCCCCGGTCTCTCTCTCTCTCTGGTCCCTCTCTCTCTGGTCTCTCTCTGGTCTCTCTCTGGTCTCTCTCTGGTCTCTCTCTGGTCTCTCTCTCTGGTTTCTGCCTGGTGTCTATCTTTCTGGTCTCTCTTTGGTCTGTCTGGTCTCTCTCTCTCTGGTCTCTGCCTGGTCTCTCTCTCTCTGGTCTCTCTCTATCTGGTCTCTCTCTCTGATCTCTCTCTTCCTCTGGTCTCGATACTAAACTACTCTCTCTCACATCAGGTCAATCTCTTGTACAGAAAAGTTGACTGAGCGTCTCACGGTCTCGTTGCGGTCTTTGGTTTTGAGTCTGTGTTCTCTGTGTGTTTGTGGTCGCATGCTCGTGTTAGTCCCTGTGTCCAAGCGCGGTGGACCCAGAGGAGCTCGCCGAGTCTCTGAGACGAGTGGCCCTCAACGGACTCACGGGGGACCTCTACCCCAGCCAGGCCAGCCACCACCCCAACCAGGCCAGCCATCACCCCAACCAGGCCAGCCACCACCCCACCCAGGCCAGCCACCACCCCACCCAGGCCAGCCACCACCCCAACCAGGCCAGCCACCAGGCCAGCCACCACCCCAACCAGGCCAGCCACCACCCCAGCCAGGCCAGCCACCACCCCAACCAGGCCAGCCATCACCCAAACCAGGCCAGCCACCACCCCAACCAGGCCAGCCACCACCCCAACCAGGCCAGCCACCACCCCAACCAGCCCAGCCACCACCCCAACCAGCCCAGCCCCCACCCCAACCAGCCCAGCCCCCACCCCAACCAGGCCAACCACCACCCCAACCAGGCCAGCCCCCACCCCAACCAGGCCCACCACCACCCCAACCAGGCCAGCCACCACCCCAACCAGGCTAACCACCACCCCAGCCAGACCCCAGTCACAAAGGCACCAGCAGTACCAGCCTGTGCCACACCAGGCCCAGTCATGCCAGCTGTCCTGCCCCAGCCTCAGACCCACCTCCCCCAGCTCCTGCAACTCCAGCACAGGGTAACCACACATGTATCCGTGAGTGTTGCATGTTCTGCCTGTGCACCTACATGTGTGTGTGTGTGTGTGGCTTCCCCTTCCTCATTTCTATATGTGTGTTTGTGTGCATTTCCTCATTTCTCGTCAATACCAATAATAATTGTCGCGGGGGCAGCAGTCTAAGCAGAGACGCCCAGACTTCCCTATCCACACACACCTCCTCCAGCTCGTCCGGGGGGACCCCAAGGCGTTCCCAGGCCAGCTGAGAGACATAGTCCCTCCAGCGTGTCCTAGGTCTTCCCCGGGGCCTCCTCCCGGTGGGACGTGCCCATAACACCTCCCCAGGGAGGCGTCCAGGAGGCATCCGGAACAGATGCCCGAGGAGTAGCAGCGGCTCTACTCCGAGCTCCTCCCGTGTGACTGAGCTCCTCACCCTATCTCTAAGGGAGCGCCCAGCCACTCTGTGGAGGAAGCTCATTTCGACCGCTTGTATCCGCGATCTCGTTCTTTCGGTCATTACCCAAAGCTCATGACCAGAGGTGAGGGAGGGAACGAAGATTGACCGGTAAATCGAGAGCTTTGCCTTTCGGCTCAGCTCCCTCTTTACCACAACGGTCCGATACAGCGACCGCATCACTGCGCACGCTGCACCGATCCGCCTGTCAATCTCACGCTCCATCCTTCCCTCACTCAGGAACAAGACCCCGAGATACTTGAACTCCTCCACTTGAGGAAGGGCCTCTCCACCCACCTGCAGAGGGCAAGGCACCTTTTTCCGGTCGAGCACCATGGCCTCAGATTTGGAGGTGCTGATTCTCATCCCAGCCGCTTCACACTCAGCTGCAAACCGCCCCAGTGCATGTTGCAGGTCCTGGTTCGTTGGCGCGGTTTGCCAGAATCTCTTCTTCTCCCAGTCCCAGGTTTTTGCCTCTGCAACAGCCCGGGCCGCGGCACGCTTGGCCTGCCGGTACTGGACAGCTGCCTCAGGCGTCCCCCAAACCATCATTGCTCGATAGGACTCCTTCAGCCTGACAGCATCCCTTACTGCCGGTGTCCACCACCGGGTTCGGAGGTTGCCGCCGGGACCAGCACCAGAGACCTTGCGACCACAGCTACGAGCCGCCGCATCGGCGATAGAGGCAGAGAACATGGTCCACTCAGACTCAATGTCCCCCTCCTCTGCCGGGACCTGGGAGAAGCTCTCCCAGAGATGTGAGTTGAAAGTCCGTCTGACAGGGGGCTCAGCGAGACGTTCCCAGCAGACCCTCACCACATGCTTGGGTCTGCCAGGTCTGACCGTCTTCCTCCCCTGCCAGCGGATCCAACTCACGACCAGGTGGTGATTGGTTGACAGCTCCGCCCCTCTCTTTACCCGAGTGTCTGAGAAACGCGGCCGAAGGTCAGATGATACGACAACAAAGTTGATCATCGACCTCCAGCCTCAGGTCCTGGCGCCCCCTGGTGGACACCCTTGTGCTCGAACATGGTGTTGGTCAGATCAGGGCTGCTCTCCCCCTTCACAGGGCGTTGAAGTCCCCCAGGACTCTCTCTCTGGTTTCTCTCTGGTCTCTCTCTGGTCTCTCTCTCTGGTCTCTCTCTGGTCTCTCTCTCTGGTCTCTCTCTTGTCTCTCTCTGGTCTCTCTCTCTGGTCTCTCTCTGGTCTCTCTCTGGTCTCTCTCTCTGGTCTCTCTCTGGTCTCTCTCTCTGGTCTCTCTCTGGTCTCTCTCTCTGGTCTCTCTCTCTGGTCTCTCTCTTGTCTCTCTCTGGTCTCTCTCTCTGGTCTCTCTCTGGTCTCTCTCTGGTCTCTCTCTCTGGTCTCTCTCTGGTCTTTACAGAACCAATTCCCATATAAGGACATTTCCTCCTAGCTTACCTCCAAATCTCCTTCTTCAGCATTACGGCTAACACTATTGTGATGTCACACTCCGTCAGTCCTCTCCTCATACTCTCTTGTCTCTCACGCTCTCTCTCTCCCAGGAGTCTGAGGTCCGGGAGAGCCGGATCACCTCCACCCCCAGCGGAACCAAAGACCCCAAGACCTCCCTGAACCACGCCCTGACCTCCTCAAACCCGGACCAGCCGGGACCTAACGGCGCTAACGGAGCTAGCGGCGCCACCGCAGCTCCCACCAGCGGGGGGCGCTCCACGGACGAGATGCGGAAACTGTTCATCGACCGAGCCAAGAAGATCGACACCGTGTCCCGGGCCGGATTCCCTCTGGCCTTTCTCTTCTTCAACATCTTCTACTGGGTCCTCTACAAGATCCTGCGGCACGAGGACTTCAACCCGCAGCAGTAGCGTCGCAACAGGAGGGCCCCGTACGCTTCTGTGGCTCTGTGTGTCGTTGTCTAAAACGCTTCTCTCACTGTGTTCGTCTGGAGCCTTCCTTCACCTTCGTTTGGTTTGTGTGACGGTGTGACGCTCAAGAGGAATTGTCTTGCCCAAGAGCAAGGCACAGGTTTATATCATGAGTCACAAAGGCACGAAAGAAAAGGATCTGTGTCTTCGTGGAAAGGTCTGAGGCCGAGGTCTGGGTTTAGAGGTTTAGTCAGAGGCCAGAGACCAGGTGGGACCACAGAGACCAGTTGGGACCACAGTCAGAAGCCAGAGACCAGGTGGGACCACAAAGACCAGGTGGGACCACTGACAGAGGCCAGAGACCAGGTGGGACCACAGAAACTGGTTTGAGGACCACAGAGACCAGTTCTGAGGCCTAGTTCCAGAGGTCTTTGGTCTAGTTAGAGGCCAGAGACCGATTTCGGACCGGAGTCAAAGACCAGGTGAGACCACAGTCAGAATCCAGATACCAGGTGCGACCGCTGTCAGAGGCCAGAGACCAGGTGGGACCACAGAGACCGGATTAAGGACCACAGTCAGGACCAGAGGCCGGTTGTTGTCTTTGTCCTCCCCAGACTTCCTCAAGAGTTCTAGTCTCTCAAGTCTGGTTTCTGGTCTGGTCTCAGTGAGGGAGGGGTGGAGCTTGTGCAGTGATGTTGTGGTGAAGAGGGAGCAGCGTCTGCAGTCAGAGCTCTGTCCCTCTGTGTGAACGTCTCTTTGGGAAAGCCGCTGCTCCTCCACACCAGGAGATTATCCAGAAGACACCGCGGAGACGAGGAACCTGTCTAGAAGGAGACAAACACTGTGTGGTTAGAGGTTACACATGAGTCTCTCTCTGTCTGGTCTCTCTCTGGTCTCTCTCTCTGGTCTCTCTCTGGTCTCTCTCTCTGGTCTCTCTCTCTGGTCTCTCTCTGGTCTCTCTCTCTGGTCTCTGTCTGGTCTCTCTCTGGTCTCTCTCTGGTCTCTCTCTGGTCTCTCTCTCTGGTCTCTCTCTGGTCTCTCTCTGGTCTCTCTCTGGTCTCTCTCTCTGGTCTCTCTCTGGTCTCTCTCTGGTCTCTCTCTGATCTCTCTCTGGTCTCTCTCTGGCCTCTCTCTGGCCTCTCTCTGGTCTCTCTCTGGTCTCTCTCTCTGGTCTCTCCCTGGTCTCTCTCTGGTCTCTCTGGTCTCTCCCTGGTCTCTCTCTGGTCTCTCTCTGGTCTCTCCCTGGTCTCTCTCTGGTCTCTCTCTGGTCTCTCCCTGGTCTCTCTCTCTGGTCTCGCCCTGGTCTCTCTCTCTGGTCTCTCTCTGGTCTCTCTCTCTGGTCTCTCTCTGATCTCTCTCTCTGGTCTCTCTCTGGTCTCTCTCTGGTCTCTCTCTGATCTCTCTCTCTGGTCTCGCCCTGGTCTCTCTCTCTGGTCTCTCTCTCTGGTCTCTCTCTGGTTTCTCTCTCTGGTCTCTCTACCTGGTCTCTCTCTCTGGTCTCTCTCTCTGGTCTCTCTCTGGTCTCTCTCTCTGGTCTCTCTCTGGTCTCTCTCTGGTCTCTCTCTCTGGTCTCTCTCTGGTTTCTCTCTCTGGTCTCTCTCTGGTCTCTCTCTCTGGTCTCTCTCTGGTCTCTCTCTGGTCTCTCTCTGGTCTCTCTCTCTGGTCTCTCTCTCTGGTCTCTCTCTGGTTTCTCTCTCTGGTCTCTCTACCTGGTCTCTTTACCTGGTCTCTCTCTGGTCTTTGCTGCCTCTGCCACTGGGCCTTGGATAAAGCAGAAGAAGGTGGTTCTGACAGTGGCTCAGTGTGAATGTTTTTACTGATGACTTCTTTATACCTGATGTTTCTGTAACGTTTACATGAACCGTGCCCAGGACCAGGACCAAGACCTGGACCAGGACCAACACCAGGACCCTGAACTGGTCCTGGATCAGATTGCATTGTGGGAAAGCCCTGACCTCCTGTGGGATCAGAGATTACACAGTCCTCTATTGTTTGTGTCACATCCACAAGGAAACTCTACTCTACTCTACTCTACTCTACTCTACTCTACTCTACTCTACTCTACACTACACTACACTACTCTACTCTACTCTACTCTACTCTACTCTACCCTACCCTTCCCTGCTCTACACTGCTCTACTCTACTCTACTCTACTCTACTCTACTCTACTCTACTCTACTCTACCCTGCTCTACTGTACTCTACTCTACTCTACTGTGCTCTGCTCTGCTCTACTCTACTCTACTCTACTCTACTCTACTCTACTCTACCCTACCCTACCCTACCCTTCCCTGCCCTACTCTACTCTACTCTACTCTACTCTACTGTACTCTACTCTACTCTACTGTGCTCTGCTCTGCTCTACTCTACTCTACCCTGCTCTACTCTACTCTACTCTACTCTACTCTACTCTACCCTACTCTACTCTACTCTACTCTGCTCTGCTCTGCTCTGCTCTGCTCTGCTCTACTCTGCTCTGCTCTGCTCTGCTCTACTCTACTCTAGTCCGCTCTACTCTACTCTAGTCCACTCTACTCTACTCTACCCTGCTCTACCCTACTCTACTCTACCCTGCTCTACTGTGCTCTGCTCTGCTCTGCTCTACTCTACTCTACTCTAGTCCACTCTACTCTACTCTACTCTACTCTACTGTACTCTACTGTGCTCTGCTCTGCTCTGCTCTACTCTACTCTTAGAAGACGTATTTTCAAACTCTACAGTTTGTTTTGACTCTGATATTTCTGCTTCGTGGTGAAACGTGGACACAGGTCCAAACCACACTCCTCTCTTTCCTTGTGTTCTCTGACACAGTTCTGTCTCTGATGAAAAATGATCTCAGTATCTGTTCAACTGTTTTACCATATCTCTGGTCTCTCTCTGGTTTCTCTCTAGTCTCTTTCTGGTGTCTCTTTCTCTCTGGTCTCTCTCTTGCCTCTCGCTCTAGTCTCTCTCTCCGGCCTCTCGCTCTGGTCTCGCTCTGGTCTCTCTCTGGTCTCTCTCTCTCTGGCCTCTCGCTCTGGTCTCTCTCTCTGGCCTCTCGCTCTGGTCTCTCTCTCTGGTCTTTCTCTGGTCTCTCTCGCTCTGGTCTCTCTCTCTGATCTCTCTCGCTCTGGTCTTTCTCTCCGGCCTCTCGCTCTGGTCTCTCTCTCTGGTCTTTCTCTGGTCTCTCTCGCTCTGGTCTCTCTCTCTGATCTCTCTCGCTCTGGTCTTTCTCTCCGGCCTCTCGCTCTGGTCTCTCTCTCTCTGGCCTCTCGCCCTGGTCTCTCTCGCTCCTGTCTTTCTCTCCGGCCTCTCGCTCTGGTCTCTCTCTCTCTGGCCTCTCTCTCTCTGGCCTCTCTCTCTGGCCTCTCGCTCTGGCCTCTCTCGCTCTGGCCTCTCTCGCTCTGGCCTCTCTCGCTCTGGTCTCTCTCTGGCCTCTCTCGCTCTGGTCTCTCTCTGGCCTCTCTCGCTCTGGTTTCTCTCTCTGGCCTCTCTCGCTCTAGTCTCTCTCTCTCTCTGTTCAGTCAAACTACATGTGTTATTTATATGAGTAAAAGTTAGGGCCCCGAGCTTTAAGGCCATAATTTTAAATGTTTTTCACAACAGCACAAACGAGGAGAGAGACAGGAGAGGACCGGCACAACACTAAAGAAAGGACAGTAGGTCTCTCTCCTCTCTCCCCTCTCTGTCCCTCCCCTTCTGTCCCCCCTCTCTCACCTCTCTCCTCCTCTCCCCCCTTCCTCTCTCCCCCTCTTATCACAGTCACTTCTGGGTTGGTGATATTTTCTCATTTTTGTCCGTATTTAAATTATTGTATAAAAAGTCTTTGTAAAAAAAAGTGGAGGTTGAATTTACACAAATAAAACTGTTGAATTTTAAAGATTGAAGAAATATTTATTCAAACATTTTGTTCTTGGGGCAGTAGCAGCTCGGTCCCTAGCATGATGTCATCGATCACAACCAGGAAGTCCAATTGTTGGGTGTGGGAGGGGCCAGAGGACAGGTGAGGGAGAGAATGTGGGAGGGGCCAGAGGACAGGTGTGGGAGAGACTGTGGGAGGGGCCAGAGGACAGGTGTGGGAGAGACTGTGGGAGGGGCCAGAGGACAGGTGAGGGAGAGACTGTGGGAGGGGCCAGAGGACAGGTGTGGGGAAGAATGTGGGAGGGGCCAGAGGACAGGTGTGGGATGAGCCAGAGGACAGGTGTGGGATGAGCCAGAGGACAGGTGAGGGAGAGAATGTGGGAGGGGCCAGAGGACAGCTGATGGGGAGACTGTGGGAGGGGCCAGAGGACAGCTGATGGGGAGACTGTGGGAGGGGCCAGAGGATAGGTGAGGGAGAGAATGTGGGAGGGGCCAGAGGACAGTTGAGGGAGAGAATGTGGGAGGGGCCAGAGGACAGGTGAGGGAGGAGCCAGAGGATAGGTGAGGGAGAGAATGTGGGAGGAGCCAGAGGAAAGGTGAGTGAGAAAATGTGGGAGGGGCCAGAGGACAGGTGAGGGAGAGAATGTGGGAGGGGCCAGAGGCCAGGTGAGGGAGAGAATGTGGGAGGAGCCAGAGGAAAGGTGAGGGAGAGAAATGTGGGAGGAGTCAGAGGATACGTGTGGGAGGAGCCAGAGGACAGGTGATGGAGAGACTGTGGGAGGGGCCAGAGGACAGGTGAGGGAGAGAATGTGGGAGGGGCCAGAGGACAGTTGAGGGAGAGAATGTGGGAGGGGCCAGAGGACAGGTGAGGGAGAGAATGTGGGAGGGGCCAGAGGCCAGGTGAGGGAGAGAATGTGGGAGGAGCCAGAGGAAAGGTGAGGGAGAGAATGTGGGAGGAGTCAGAGGATACGTGTGGGAGGAGCCAGAGGACAGGTGATGGAGAGACTGTGGGAGGGGCCAGAGGACAGGTGAGGGAGAGAATGTGGGAGGGGCCAGAGGACAGTTGAGGGAGAGAATGTGGGAGGGGCCAGAGGACAGGTGAGGGAGAGAATGTGGGAGGGGCCAGAGGCCAGGTGAGGGAGAGAATGTGGGAGGAGCCAGAGGAAAGGTGAGGGAGAGAATGTGGGAGGAGTCAGAGGATACGTGTGGGAGGAGCCAGAGGACAGGTGATGGAGAGACTGTGGGAGGGGCCAGAGGACAGGTGAGGGAGAGAATGTGGGAGGAGTCAGGACAGGTGAGGGAGGAGCCAGAGGACAGGTGAGGGAGAGAATGTAGGAGGAGCCAGAGGACAGGTGAGGGAGAGAATGTGGGAGGAGTCAGGACAGGTGAGTAAGAGAATGTGGGAGGAGCCAGAGAACAGGTGAGGGAGAGAATGTGGGAGGACAGCTGATGGAGAGACTGTGGGAGGGGCCAGAGGATAGGTGAGGGAGAGAATGTGGGAGGGGCCAGAGGACATGTGAGGGAGAGAATGTGGGAGGGGCCAGAGGACAGGTGAGGGAGAGAATGTGGGAGGCGCCAGAGGACAGGTGAGGGAGAGAATGTGGGAGGGGCCAGAGGACAGGTAAGGGAAAGAATGTGGGAGGAGTCAGAGGATACGTGTGGGAGGAGCCAGAGGACAGGTGATGGAGAGACTGTGGGAGGGGCCAGAGGACAGGTGAGGGAGGAGCCAGAGGACAGGTGAGGGAGAGAATGTAGGAGGAGCCAGAGGACAGGTAAGGGAAAGAATGTGGGAGGAGTCAGAGGATACGTGTGGGAGGAGCCAGAGGACAGGTGATGGAGAGACTGTGGGAGGGGCCAGAGGACAGGTAAGGGAGAGAATGTGGGAGGAGTCAGAGGATCCGTGTGGGAGGAGCCAGAGGACAGGTGAGGGAGAGAATGTGGGAGGAGCCAGAGGACAGGTGAGGGAGAGAATGTGGGAGGAGCCAGAGGACAGGTGAGGGAGAGAATGTGGGAGGAGCCAGAGGATAGGTGAGGGAGAGAATGTGGGAGGAGTCAGGACAGGTGAGTAAGAGAATGTGGGAGGAGCCAGAGAACAGGTGAGGGAGAGAATGTGGGAGGAGCCAGAGGACATGTGTGGGAGGAGTCAGAGGACAGACAAGAGAAGGAATGTGGGAGGACCCAATGGACAGGTGAGGGAAGGAATTTGTGTGTGTGTTTGTATGTGTGTGTGTGTATGTGTGAGTGAGAAGAGAAGAGAGGGCGGGGTTTAGGGGAAGAAGGAAGCAGAAGCAAAAGTAGAAGTCTAAATAGCAGCAGCAGCAGCAGTAGTAGTAGTAGCAGTAGTAGCAGCAGCAGTAGTAGATTGTCCCACAGAGGGGAGATTGCACAAGTCTCAAGAGAAAATCCCGCCCCCTCAGCTACATGCGCTCTGTACCGAGGACCATCAAGACCCTCAGAACCATCAGGACCATAAGTACCATCAGGACCATGGCTCTGGAGGGCAAGGTGGCGCTGGTAACCGGGGGCGCGCAGGGCATCGGGCGCGCGGTGGTGCAGACGCTGGTCCAGAACCAGGCCCAGGTCAGGCTCTCTCCCCCTCTCTCCCCCTCTCTCTCCCCCTCTCTCCCCCTCTCCCTCTCTCCCCTCTCCCCCTCTCCCCCCCCTCTCTCTCTCCCCTCTCCCCCTCTCTCCCCCTCTCTCTCCCCTCTCTCTCCTCCCTCTCTCCCCCTCTCTCCCCCTCTCTCCCCCTCTCCCTCTCTCCCTCTCTCCCTCTCACTCCCTCTCACTGCTGTCATTTCCTTGTATAGAAACTGTGCCATACAAATAAACGTGCCTGGGCGTTATGTAAGGTGCACGGGAGGAGGCGGTGTTACCTGAGAGACTGTGACGCTGTGACCAGAGAGAGACCAGAGAGAGACCAGAGAGAGAGACCAGAGAGAGAGACCAGAGAGAGACCAGAGAGAGAGACCAGAGAGAGACCAGAGAGAGACCAGAGAGAGAGAACAGAGAGAGACCAGAGAGAGACCAAAGAGAGACCAGAGAGAGAGACCAGAGAGAGACCAGAGAGAGACCAGAGAGAGAGAACAGAGAGAGACCAGAGAGAGAGACCAAAGAGAGACCAGAGAGAGAGACCAGAGAGAGACCAGAGAGAGAGAGAGAGAGACGTCTCTTCTCTGGTCTCTCTCTGATCTCTCTTTCTGGTCTCTCTCTCTCTGGTCCCGTGCCCCTCCCTTCCCCTCTGGTATGCTGTAGGTGTGTCTGTCCTGTTGTCTCTGTGTGCGTCACATGGTCCTTCCTCCTCCTTCAGTTCAACATTAACCAGGTGAACTTTCTACTCACATAGAACCAGGAGTAACACACACATGGAGTCCAAGTCTGGGAAAGTCTATCTACAGCCACGGAAACCAGGGAGGGTGAGTACCAGGAAGACCAGAGGGAGACCAGAGAGACACCAGAGAGAGAGACTAGAGAGAGACCAGAGAGAGACCAGAGAGAGAGACTAGAGAGAGACCAGAGAGAGAGAGACCAGAGAGAGACCAGAGAGAGACCAGAGAGAGACCAGAGAGAGAGACTAGAGAGCGACCAGAGAGAGACCAGAGAGAGACTAGAGAGAGACCAGAGAGAGAGACCAGAGAGAGACCAGAGAGAGAGAGACCAGAGAGAGACCAGAGAGAGAGACTAGAGAGAGACCAGAGAGAGACCAGAGAGAGACCAGAGAGAGACCAGAGAGAGAGACCAGAGAGAGACCAGAGAGAGACCAGACAGAGACCAGAGAGAGACCAGAGAGAGACCAGAGAGAGACCAGAGAGAGACCAGAGAGAGACCAGAGAAAGAGACCAGAGAGAGAGACTAGAGAGAGACCAGAGAGAGACCAGAAAGAGACCAGAGAGAGAGACCAGAGAGAGACCAGAGAGAGACCAGAGAGAGACCAGAGAGAGACCAGAGAGAGAGACCAGAGAGAGACCAGAGAGAGACCAGACAGAGACCAGAGAGAGAGACCAGAGAGAGACCAGAGAGAGACCAGAGAGAGAGACCAGAGAGAGACCAGAGAGAGAGACCAGAGAGAGAGTCCAGAGAGAGAGACCAGAGAGAGAGACCAGAGAGAGACCAGAGAGAGACCAGAGAGAGACCAGAGAGAGAGACCAGAGAGAGACCAGAGAGAGAGACCATTAAGAGACTAGAGAGAGAGACCAGAGAGAGAGACCACAGAGAGAGACCAGAGAGAGACCATTAAGAGACCAGACACCAGAGAAAGACGAGAGATGTTTATAACGCAGCCTTCTGAACTCTTATGGTTTGGCCTTGATGGTGATTCAGTAAATTTTACTCGTATCAAAAAAAGAAGCAGATTTTATTGTTTTTATTTATAATCTGAGGCAAGTTCCATCATGTGACATCACTGCTCTACTCTTCTTTACTCTATTCTACTCTGCTCTACTCTACTCTACACTACTCTTTTTTACTCTACTCTACTCTTCTTTACTCTACCCTACTACTCTACTCTTCTTTACTCTACTCTACTCTACTCTTCTTTACTCTACTCTACTCTACTCTGCTCTACTCTGCTTTACTCTACTCTACCCTACTCTGCTCGACTCTACTTTTCTCTACTCTACTCTACTCTACTCTACTCTACCCTACCCTGCTCTGCTCTACTCTACTCTACTCTACTCTACTCTACCCTACCCTGCTCTGCTCTACTCTACTCTACTCTACTCTTCACTCTACCCTACTCTTCTTTACTTTATTCTTCTTTACTCTACTCTACTCTACTCTACCCTACTCTACTCTACTCTACTGTACTCTGTTCTACTCTACCCTACTCTACTCTTCTTTACCCTACCCTACCCTGCTCTGCTCTTCTCGTTTGAAAACTGTTGCAAAATCCAAAAATTCCATCAGAACAAGTTCAAACAACAGAAGAATTCCACTGTGTGTGTTTGTGTTTATATGTGTGTGTGTGTGTGTGTGTGTGTGTGTGTGTATACTGCATGTACATGTGTGTGTGTGTATAAAGCTGGTGTCTTTAATAGTTCAAGTGAAAGTTTAAAGTGAGAATCAAATATTAAAGAACACGTTAAAGAACATGTATGATGCATAATTCTATTCATTCAAACAGGACACTCTGGTCTCTCTGGTCTCACTCTGGTCTCACTCTGGTCTCACTCTGGTCTCCCTCTGGTCTCTATCTGGTCTCTCTCTGGTCTCTATAACTTCAGTCTTATTTTGAAATTGTGAAATCATGAAAAGGTTGTTTTCACCCTTTTATTACGACTCTTTCCCATTTTCCTTGACACGGGTCTAAACAACACGCCTACCTTTCCCTGTTTCTGTGTGTGTGTGTGTGTGTGTGTGTGTAGCAGAAGTGGAAGGAGGTGTGGCTCACTCTGGTCCCTCCCAGCAGCAGCACCATGGGGCGACTGGAGATCCAGGAAATACCAGGTGTGTCTTTATCAACTTCCATCCTCCATTTATCAAAGGATCATAAACGGTCACTGAGGAGTTTACTTTCACACTGAGCAAAACTTTGTCCACGAGCACTTGCCTATTAGGCTCTGGACTCTCTCTGGACTCTCTGGTCTCTCTCTGGACTCTCTCTAGTCTCTCTTTGGACTCTCTCCGGTCTCTCTCTGGTCTCTCTTTGGTCTCTCTCTCTCTGTTTTCTCTCTAGTCCCGAAGAGATCTGAAGTTAATCAGTCTAATCAGTCTAAGATCCTGAAACTTTTATCAATTTTATCAATCATTTTATTTGTTCTTATAATCTTGAGCTTATGTTCAGATTCATGCTGCTAAAATCTGGAACAATCTTCCTGAAGATGTGAGACAGGCCTCCTCTCTGACAATGTTTAAGACAAGGTTAAAAACAGTTCTGTTTAGCTGTGCTACAACTGAGGGATTTTATATTTTTTATCTTTCTTTTTAATGTTCTGTGATTATTTAGGATTTTAATGCTTTCTTGTTCTGCACTTTGAGTTGCTTTGTGTATGAATTGTGCTATACAAATAAACTTGCCTTGCCTTGCCTCTCTCTGGCCAGGATCAAACCTTCCCCCCTGAGCACTTCCCTCCTGCCGTCACAGAGCTAGCGTGTTAGCGTGTTAGCTCCCTCTGTGTACAGTCTGTATTGCTCCGGCAGAGACCTCTCACGTACTGCTCCGTGTTCTTCTCTGCTCCGCTTTAAATAATCCAAAACCTACAGAAACACGAAACTGATCTTTGAGAGACGACGAGAGAGCGTGTGAAGAACAGAGCGAGAGAGCGAAACATGAGAGAGAGAAAAACAGACATGAGCCGTGTTAAAGAAAACAATACTTTTAGATGAATAAGTGATAATCCCAGAGCGAGACCAGAGCGAGACCAACTGTGGTCTCCATCAGGACCTGTCTTTCTGGTTTCTCTGTGGTCTCTCTGTGATCTCTCTCTGCTCTCTCTCTGGTCTCTCTCTGGTCTCTCTTCTTCGCTCTCTCTGGTCTCCTGCTGGTCTCTCTCTCTCTCTAGTCTCTCTTTCTCTACTCTCTCTCTGGTCTCCCTCTAGTGTCTCTCTCTCTCTCTCTCTCTCTCTCTCTCTCTGGTCTCTCTCAAGTGTCTCTATCTCTCTCTCTCTAGTCTCTCTTTCTCTACTCTCTCTCTGTCTCTCTCTAGTCTCTCTCTCTCTCTAGTCTCTCTTTCGCTCTGCTCTCTCTCTCTGGTCTCTCTTTGTCTCTCTCTTGTCTCTCTCTCTAGTCTCTCTGTCTCTCTCTCTCTCTAGTCTCTCTTTCGCTCTGCTCTCTCTCTCTGGTCTCTCTAGTCTCTAAAAAATCCAAAAATCCAAAACTAGTTTATTTGACAGGGTTTTCAGCTGCTGTCCCTGTGCGAGGTGTATAATACCAACAACAATTATAAACAAAACAGTTTAAAAGTTGAGGCTACAGACTTACATAACAAATGTTGATATAATTCATACATTGATAAAAACAGAATGTTTGTTCTGTAACTTGCTCAGTAGAAAGGGCAGGTCGTACAGTTCAGACATAAGACATTATTAGGATAAAGTTATTTACAAGCAAACACCTGTGCAGAGGATCTGATCCTTGGACCAGTCCTGTACCGAGAGTCCTGTACCGAGAGTCCTGTACCGAGAGTCCTGTACCGAGAGTCCTGTACCGAGAGTCCTGTACCGAGAGTCCTGTACCGAGAGTCCTGTACCGAGAGTCCTGTACCGAGAGTTCTGTACCGAGAGTTCTGTACCGAGAGTTCTGTACCGAGAGTTCTGTACCGAGAGTCCTGTACCGAGAGTTCTGTACCGAGAGTTCTGTACCGAGAGTTCTGTACCGAGAGTCCTGTACCGAGAGTCCTGTACCGAGTCCTGTACCGAGAGTTCTGTACCGAGAGTCCTGTACCGAGAGTTCTGTACCGAGAGTTCTGTTACCGAGAGTCCTGTACCGAGAGTCCTGTACCGAGAGTCCTGTACCGAGAGTTCTGTACCGAGAGTTCTGTACCGAGAGTCCTGTACCGAGAGTTCTGTACCGAGAGTTCTGTACCGAGAGTCCTGTACCGAGAGTTCTGTACCGAGAGTCCTGTACCGAGAGTTCTGTACCGAGAGTTCTGTGTAGGCTCTAATGAGCACGTCGCTGATTGGATTTCAACCAATTTTTTTAATTGAGTCCTAAATGTGTTAAACGTGGGGCACTCTCTGACGG